ATATATAAAACTTTATTTTTTTTTTCTCTATTATATAAAATATTATATACACTGCAGCCTCTCTCATCTCGATCTTGCTTCATCATTGCTTCTGATTCTCCTGCTGCTGCTGCTGCTTCTGCTCCTGCTGCTGCTGCTGCAGGCGGTGATGGTTCATCGAGGAGAAAGATAGAACTGCTGCTGCTGCTGCTGCTGCTGCTGCTGCTGCTGGTGAGGGATTGTGGAGCAGTAGAGAGGATATCTTCTTCATCGGATTGTGCTGTTGCTTCTGCTGCTGCTGCTGCTGCTGGTTTTGCTGCTGCAGTTGCTGCTGCTGCTGCTGGCACGACTTTGTTTGTAGCTTGACGCTGCTGCAGCAGCAGCCGCTGCAGCAGCAGCTGCTCCAGCAGCATCCCCAAGCAGCAAACGCATGCAGACAGCACGAAGCAGCAGCGCCACCCCCACTCCCACTCAACCAACGAGCAGAACAACGTCGATACTATGCCGCCTAAACAGCAGCACAGACAGCAGCAGCAGCAGCAGCAGCAGCAACAGCAGCAACAGCAGCAGGTGCTGCAGCAGCTGGAATCAGTAGCTGAAAGTAACAGTGGAGATCAACAGCAGCAGCAGCATCACTGGCAGCAGCAGCTGCAGCAGCAGCACCGACAACTGCAGCATCATGATCATCATCAAGCACAGCAGCAGCAGCAGTAGCAGCAACAGCAAGAAGAATGCAGCAGCAGCAGCAAAAAGAATGCAGCAGCAGCATCAGCAGCAGCAGCATCAGCAGCAGCAGCAGCAGCACGAAGAACGCAGCAGCAGCACGAAAACAGCAGGAGCAGCAGCAGGAGGAGCAGCAGCAGGAGGACCAGTGGTGTACCGAGTTGCTGCGAGGTGGTCCATGCAAAGAGTAGAACTCCTCTGGTGTTTGTTGGTATCGAAGCCGAAAACAGAAAAAGAAAGAGAGGGAAGATGGGGGCTTGTGCTGCTCCATTGAGCCCCCAAAAGAAAACAAAGAAAGCAGCAGAAGAGGAAGCAGCAAAGAACAAACAAAAAACAAAAGAAAGAAAAAAACAAACCGATAAAACATTTATAGATTGAGAAATAGATAAAGAAGATATAAATAAAGAACACAGCAGCTGCACACACGCATAACAACTCAGAAACGAGGTGTCTATACACCCCAACTCAAACGTAGAAATATATAAACTTTTTCGCAGAGTTTCTTTCACAACAGCAAACGGCTTTCGGCTGAAATACACTGCAGCATAAGATATATAACAAACCACAAACACACGAAACGCAGATGCAGGCACACCGCATATCAACCTCTCCTCCTGCTGCTCCTGCTGCTCCTGCTGCTGCTGCTGTTGCTGCTGCTGCTGCTGCAGCAGATGCTCTTGCTCCTGCTGCTGCTGCTGCTGCTGCTGCTGCTGCTTGGCACGCTTCTGCTGAACCCCAGCAGCAGCAGCCTCCATATCGCTGGCCTCAGTTAAACTCGCGTCTTCGTCCTCAGCAGCAGCAGCAGCAGCAGCAGCAGCAGGAGAGGCAGCAGCAGCAGCAAAAGAAGGAGAAGTGAAAGAAGGAACTGCTGCGTTGTGTTGCGCTGCAGACACAAACTGAAGAGGACCTGCTGCTGCTGCTGCTGCTGCTGCTGCTGCT